TTTTTTGTTTTTTTGTTTTTGGTCCGTACATTTTGCACCCCCTGATACCGGTCCAGACTGTCCGGGTCTGGTGATGTTCCGGTGTCCAGTGATGTCCGGATCACCGGACAGTCCGGACCGGTCCAGCTGGTCCGGGAGTGTCCGGTGTCCGGGTCCGCAGTTACCTTGGCTATGGGACAATGTATTTGCGCTTGGTTTTCTTTGAGGAGACGAAACAACAAATGGACATGCAAGCAGCACAGGCGCATCGTTGTAACTGGAATGGGTAGGCAACAAGAGCGTAGTAGTTGCAGCTGATGAGAAATTGTGATGACAGAGGGAAAGGGGGTGCGGTTCACAGGAAAAGGTAGATGCATACTTGTAATGGCCACCGATTGGATTTGCAGCAGCAAGCACTGCCGTGCGTGCAGACAGAGTGGCAACAAGACCGGCTTTTGCTACAGAAACACTCTGCTGCTCCATAGCTTCCAACAAGGCCTGCACAACACAACATCCAAACCAGAGCAAGATGGGAAAAACTGCAAAAGATAATCAGGTTTCCTCCATGCTCACAGAATCATCTAATAAATGAGAATAAGAGAGATATGTCGGATGTTGAGGAACTGACTGAGGTTGAAGAACTGCACACAAACACACATCCCAAAGGTTGCATCTCTTTTATTTTTTCAAATAGAAACAAGTTGAGGCGCGCTGTGGCCTTGCCCCGACTGGAAGATGATGAGGCGCACATATGTTTGTGTTCGTTTGTAATTGATACAATGTGGTACTATCCTGCACTGTACCATACCACACGGCAGTAAGTTGAAATATGCGGTACTACATGGTACTGTCAGGTACCATGCAGGTCGGGCAGGCGGGGTTTCATTCGGGTGTGGTGCCATGTGGTAGTATGCCATACTATGCGGACAGGATGGTACTAACACACACTCCTATCCAACAAAGAAAAGAGAAAACAAAGACAGCCAACAAAGAGAATAAAAGAGGCACAGCGAACATGAGGTACAATTCATCCCTTGCCCCAGCCTGGCGGTATCGTGTGCACTGAGCGGTGTTTTGTGGCCTGGGCGATACTATGTGAGTTGTGTCGCACCAGGTGAACCGGGTCGTACCATGTAAATCATGCAGTACGATGCGACATGCGGGTCGGGCAGTGCCACGTCGGGCAGGTCATACCATGTGGACCGGTGTCGAGCGCATCGGTCCGGCACCGCACAAGGCAGCGCGGGACCCTCCCGGCCGCGTCACGCAGGAGTTGGTCTGTTCCTCGTCGCGAATACATAATGGAGCTTCCGCAAGCCGCTCCGGCCGAGTGCGCCAGCCATACCTCTCGCGAGCCCCTACGATAGGATAGGGCCTACGCGAGGCACGACTTACCTCCACCTTACGGAAGTTGTCACCTCCCTTCGGTGGGCGTATCCCCGCCGAGCTACCCGTCCACAATACGAACGCTAATCAGCTGCAATCGCCGAGGTGGACCAGCCAAGGGCGTTTCTTGTTCGCTGTAGCATAGGGGGTACGCGCGGTATTACGCCTCTATCAGACCGGTACGTGAACCGGCATCTTGGGGGGCTGAGGTCCCCAAGCGCGACTCATCGTCGGTCGACTAGGACGTATCCCACTCACCACGCGCACACCACTCTACGAACACCAAAATAAAACACACATACACACACACACATCAAACAACGCGACAACACTCCTAGTCCCTTTAGTAGCCATCCCATAACCTTCCGATGCGGAAATCAGATAGGCGTCGCGCGCGAGACTTAGTATAAGACCGCGCGGACACAGGGCTAACTCATATCGATCCCCAATGCAAGCGTACGCAAGCGATCGCAGTGATGGCGTACTATGTAGCACCCATACTCACGCGATCCTCGTTAATCTCGAGGGTCGCATTCGACACTCAAGTGTCGGCTGACACGCGCCTTGAGGGTTAATCTCTCGACGCTGGACAACCGCCAAGCGCGGTTGAGAACCACACCCTCTTCTGCACCCTGCGGAGAGTGGGTGGTACACAGGTTCACACCTGTGGTGGCAATCGTCTCTTATTGCCCTGGAGACCAGCTCCATCATCTAGGGTCTGGAAAGAAGTCAAGGGGTTTGACTTTGACGGCTGCCACGGACTACAACGTCCAACTATAAAATTCTAAAAAGCAAAGGATAAAAGGGGATCTCCCTTTTCTCTCAAAAACATAATATGCTTAACCCTTACGCGAGATCACAGTAGGCCGCGCGAAAACACCCAAGACATATGTATTCACATATATAGAGAGGGTTATAAATATGTGACGATCACTTCTCACAATCACAGTGGGACTCCTCTCAGCCATATATATGTATATGAGTGCAAGCAGTCAAATCCAAAGTCCGAATCACCAAACATACCTGCAATCACATCAAAGATTCAACCAAAAGTCCATGCACTACACGGGGTCAATTTCAACCATTCTCTGCACTCACACCCCGCGCTTTAGCCATACAAACCTCAACCTCAGCGCACCCTCCCAGCAATAAAATACTCAGTATCTTTGTTAAATGGCCATTCAATAAAGTCCGGGTAAAAACACAATGAAACGGATCAAACCACAGGGCTCTTTTAGGTTGAGTGGCAAGAGTGGGTTTGAGTTGAATCGGCAACCGACCTGTTATCAGTGATAACAAAAGATGATCCTCGTAGGATCAAGCTGAATCTAGCCCAAATACTGAATCGATCGATCAAGAAGACCTGTAACCCAAGACAGGTCAATTCTCAAGCTAAAGTCGTAAGTGTATGGAGAGTACAGCTCCATAACACATCCTCACCCAAGATCCTTCTACAAGCTAAGTCTAAGTCTACCTCTAAGCCACTACCCAAAGAAAGGTAGACTCTGGTAGAATCTCCTCTATACAGAGAGGATTGCCAGAATCGCCACCTGTCAAAATATAATCTATCTCCTTTAAACTAAGAAATTTTGGCAGCGCTTCCCGTAGGAGAAGTGTCTTTCCATAATTTATATCAGCCCGAATATGAAAACAGAAATAGCCTTCAACTTTCCAAAGTCCAATTTTGTCCAACTCCTTGAATTAGCAAAAATTTGGGCAGCACTCCCTTTAAAAAATGAGATTTTCCAAATTTTTACTAAGCCATGTATAAAATTTAGGCAAGTTGAACTTTGAAAAGCCAAAATTTGACTAACTCCTTGGATTTGCAGAAATTTCGGCAGCGCTTCCCGTAGGGAAAGTAGCTTACCAAAATTTATACAAAGCCAAGTACAGTAAAAGATCTCAGAAAATGCGGAGATCGATCTAAATGCAGAAATTGAACTAACTCCTATCGCTCTAGCACGTGGCGAGCCTCTAAAGCAACTACCTGTCAAACTGAAACTCAGACTAAGTAGTAACCTCACTCAGGTCATGCAATTGCCAAACCACAAAGGTAAGTACTCTCACCAACCCAAGTCAATCTCATCAAACAATAGTTCATAGTCTTTCAGTGATTCACCCCTTTATACCCAGCTGACATAAGGCATAAAGTCAGGTCACCCAAACTTATGGGACATGCCTATGACTAGGCCACCCTAGTCGCCCTAAACGGTTTAAGTATCCCAACTTTATATAATTATCTGGACTTAGTCTTATAAGGTAGCATATGACTGAACCGATCAACTTAGCTCGAGGTCCAGCCTGCCCCTTCTTACCATCAGTTTACTCTTAATTAATACTTTCTTCAATTGGTGATAAGCTATAGTCAGACCACCCAAACTTATGGGACCCTACCCGACTAGCTTGTTCTTAAGTAAAATAGTAGTAAAGTATAGCCAAATTATAGCCTTCGGGTTCCAACATGTGCGAGGCATTGGGCCAGACCACCCAAACTAATGGGACATGTCTGGTCCTCCGCCTGATTCGTTTCTCTCTGATTCCACTTGTGTGTGGCATGGGGCCAAGGCCACCCAGACTTATGGGACATGCCTTGTCCTCGGCCAAAATCCCCTCAGAAATAAAGCAGGAAGAGGCTGAGCCACCCAAACTTATGGGACATGCTCAGACCTCCTCGTTTAGAACCAAAGGAAAACAGAAGAAGCCCGAAGTAAACAAGGCAACCAAGCCACCCAAACTTATGGGACATGCTTGGCTCCTGAAAAGTCAACCACAAACGACCCTCGCAAGTCAGAGCAATCAGACTACCCAAACTTATGAGACTTGTCTGATTCTCCAAGCAAATCAAAACTACCACAGCACCGGGTCTCCCCAAACTTATGGGGACTTCCCAGCCAAACACCAGACAAAATTGTCCTCCTCCCAACCTCCCCCCTGATGCACCTCTTTGTTCACAATCTACTTTCAAACAAAAATAAAGTTGACACTGAGATTGTATACGTATTCCTTTACTTAGTCTCGTTTGTGTCCTGAAAGTCAAACTGAAAAGTCAAAGTAGGGATGCACTCAGTATACTCAGCCAAAACACAATCAAGAATACAGATAGTGGGCTATAACTGGGTTTACAGAAGGAAAGCGAAACCATTACCTGTCGGTTCCCTGCCTCCAGAACTCCTCTTGAGTTCCGGCAGAGCTCAATCGGTGGGCTGACTCCGCACAGAGTCTTGCTGCGGCCCTACGGGCTGCAATCCCGCCTGCCGCCTTCCTCTCTGAACAGGATTAGACTGAGAGTAAGAAGGGCAGAAGATAAGGGGTTTCAGACTCTCGAGATACAGGAGAGGGACTGACTCAACTCCCAGGAGAGGGCCTTGAAATCTTCGAGCGCCTGAGGCCCCCGCAATGATGGCCAAATCGCGTGGCCAACTTGGTCGCCCGAAGTCAAGCCGTCGGTTGTCTTCGCCTCGCCGCTCGTCTGCAGCTCCCTTGCTTAGAAGGTTGCGCGGCACCTCGGCCTGCAGCTAAACATGCAGCCTAGCGGCCGCCTCCTTGCCGCTCCCCTGGTATGATAGGCAGCGTTTTGGCCAAACTGGTAAGTTTCTACCTACCATGCCCCCCCCCCCCACTGCTGTAGCTTCACTCGCCTCGATGGGCAGCGCACCGGGCAGCAGACAGGCTTTGTGTTCTTACGGCTTGCGTGCTATGCAACGCCGGACTGAACCTTCAATTCGACGGCGGGGAGGCTCCCTACCAGGTAAGTCTTTGATCCTGCAGCTTGCCACACACCCTCGATCGCAGTGATGGCAACCTATTGGCCAACAGGCAAGCCTGCAAGCTCTACGGTCGTCTTCACGTTACTCCGCTCAATGTGATGGGCAACACTTCATTCAGCAGGTAGGCCTGCAACTTCACCAAACAGGTGCTCAACCCGGTTGCTTGCTCCCCTCGCTGCTTCGTAAGCTGAATGGACAGTGCCTCAGTCAGCGGCAAGTCCTCATGCCCTGCGGCTCGCTTCCCACTGCTCCACTCGTCGGAAGTGAGTAGTGCGTCCGCCCACAGATAAATCTTCCCATCCCTTGGCTTGCTTCCTGCTACTTCCCTCCGTGGGATGAGCAAAATCGAATGAATCTTCCGTAAGAAACTGGCTAGGTGCATACCCCTTTTCCTTGCCTCCTGCTATGTCATTCCTCTCAACTCTCGTTCGGCTCTCTCTCTCTCTCTCTCTCTCTCTCTCTCTCTCTCTCTCTCTCTCTCTCTCTCTCTCCCTCTCTCTCTCTCTNTCTCTCTCTCTCTCTCTCTCTCTCAAACTCTCGCATGCACAACTCCGTAGTCAGGCAATACAAAGTCTTTACAAGGCACTGATACACCGACCACAAGGCACCACAAAAATTTTCGAATTTTTACGAGAACGTATCCTCCCCCACGGCCAACGTCGGTAGCATGTCCTTCTTTTCCTCCCCAGTGCTCCGTCCACAACCACACCCCTACCACCTGCCCTCGAGTCGACTGTGAACCTTGTCAATGACAATGATACCGCCCGAAGTACGAGGACATGTCGCCCCCTTGGACCTTCGGCAAGACCGGGTGTAAGCCCTCGAAACGACGCCCTAATGACCGTATAGTGCCCAACTTACGATACGACGCCCCAGGTCTATAGCAGTGCCTCTCCCCCGAACGTCGGACAAGATGCGGACGAGGCTGACGGTCGACAGTCGCCTCCGCACTAACTGGCTGGACCTTAGACAAGTGCAAACCAGAAAAGAATGGTACCGACTATCGAAAAGGGCCCGACCCCTTCCCAGGAAACAAGTTTCACTACTGCCTCTTCCGAGCGAGGTCAACCGCCCCAGTCCGGAGTAGTCTCCCCTTCCTCCGCGAGCTGGCTCGAGCGCCCCTGGACACGACTTC